CCAAGGTCTATTACGACGGAAAACAAAACAATGCCTGTCGTTACCTTCAGTATTGACAACCGTGCTCTTTTTATGCGAACCTGAAACTGATCAAGTAAAAAAAAACGCACATAATTTAATAAATCCGTCAACCTACCGCTCTTTACTTCCATATCCAGCTTCTAAATATAAGTAATGTTTTTCACTGTTCAATCAAATTCAAATACTACTACCACTACTACTACTACTGCTACTACCACCACCACCACCACCACCACCACCACTACTACTACTGCTACTACTGCTGCTGCTGCTGCTACTACTATTACTTATAATAATAATAATAATAATAATAATAACAACAATTTTTGTCGATACCTTGGTTATGAGTGTAATAGATCGGTAATTCAGCGCCGACAGGCAGTGAGAAGAAAACTGCAATAAAATTAATATTCCGTATTTACAACGCACACAAAAATGACAAAGGTTCAGTATCATGCGCTAAGTTATCAAAAAGACCACGTGTATCTACCACAGCTATTTACTTACTTCTTTGAATTAAATTTTTCTTTTTATTGGGTCTTCTTCCTGCAACCAAAAATAATATTTAAGTCGGAAGAAATAAAGAAGAAATAGTCACAGTTTTGTTCTTTTTTAGAGCGCTTGACTTTATACAAATGTAATCTTTTAGGAGAACATGCAATGACGGATCTTCACTTTGTAAGACCAAAATAAAACTAATCACCCAGGCCAGTTAGAATAATAAATGGGTTATCTTCGTACATGTACCCATGCAAGAATGTTTACAATACGGATTCGCAGCTTATCATCTATAGGAATGACCGTTGACTTAAGATTTAAGCGACAAAATGTACTCAGACCGATTAAGAACAAAAAGACCGACGAAAATTGGCACTCGCTCAAACGATAATTTTAATCTATTATTGGGAATACGTGTCATATCAACACTTTTCTTGTATTATTATCTTACGGGTAGCTATTGAGGCCTAAAAAGCATTTATTTCATATTGACAAAGAAATAGCTATCAGTGTGTTTAACAATTCACCTTTGGTCATGCTAGTCCGTGCTGGAACATACACGTGTTTAACTATGTGTACTCTGGGAAATGGATGTGGAACTGTAAAAGACACAAATATGAACTGTTAAGTGAAATAACATTAAATTACGTCGAATCTTTCATCTCAAGGTATCAAAGGGAACTTTTTATACCTCAATCCTTTCAATTCTGTTATAATACCTACAGAAGACAAAGAATCGAAAACAAAAACCAAAGCAATCACAACGGCCAATCAAAAAGAATCTTAAAATTATAAAGGACCAATCAGATTAAAGAGCGTTCGACATGAAGCGCGAGAGAACGCTCCTTGATAATCATAAAAGAAGCGTGAGGTTTCTGTACCAACCACGAGGCAAAGGAAAAAAAGCAAAGACACAACATTTTTAAATTTCTTATTCTAGAAAATTCAGATCATAAAAGGATAAATTTGTAAGCTCACTTTCCCCTCGTTTCTTGTACGCTTGAACATCCGCTGGGGCAGGAGTGGGGACAACTGTAAAATGTACAATTCGGCATAAATTAGAAAATCGCTCTGACGAAGGGCTAACGCTCGAAACGTTAGCAAATACAGCTCTTTACATGCAGTAATGAAAAAATATTTCTTCGTAAAACCGTTTTTTAGGAAAAGTTCCTAATTACTTGCAAGGTGCTGTAATTACTTTAAGTATAATGAACAAAAAAAAGAACTCAGCCCTCAATAAATTACTAATTTGCATGGTGCAATTCTCATGATTTTTATGAAAATCTTTTCCCACCGCGCGTACTAATGCAGTTTTATAAAGCAATACTCTAATTTCTGGGGACAAAAATTACAACAAAAAAAAACTTTTTGTCTGCATTTTTTAAGTTTTTTAAACATTTTTAAACATTTTTAAACATTTTAAACTTTTTGTCTGCATTTTTTAAAAAGTTTTTAACCCCCCTAGTTCCCCCTTTTTCCCTAGTAACTACTTAACTCATTGGAAATAAATATTTGGCACTATGTTTTGAAAAAACTCACCAGATCTGTCCCTCCAATTTGGAGAGTCTTTCCAAGAGACCATTCCATGGGCACCCTTGACGAAAACTTGAACTTCAAATGAAATAACAAGAACTCCTAAATTTCAAGTCCAGTTTCAAATTAAACCAAGAAAATTTGTCTGTTGTAATTACCTGCATAGCAAAATCCACAGCTCCAAATCAAGAAGAAAGCTGCTAGGTTGGACACTCTTTGCATCTTGGGAAGAACAACGAAAACTGTCTCTAAATGAAGCAAAGTATTAACATTGAAATACAAACATTGGAAAAACCTAGAATGCTCACACACATGCGTACTAGTATAATAGTAATTCCCAAATGTTAACAAATGCAGCGTCTAACTCAGTGAGAGTAGCACGTGCAAAAATTTAACCTGAAAACCTCAGTCATACATTCAGTTGCACTGTCCACGCAGCTAAGAGAACTACGAGACAGCAGAAAAGCCGAGTCGGAAACAATAGCATATTCCGAGAAAAAAATTACAATAAGGTAAGGTAAGTATTGTTTACTAAGGATTGCCACATATTACACACACCTTATGATTGCATTTGTTCAAGCTAACAATAATATAGATTTATCCATTTTCTTGGCACAATAACACTAACAACATTTTTGAACTTGAAAAAGCAGGAACATTTTTGTCTAAAACACTTATAACTCTCACTCATAATTCTAACTGTGGAATTCTGATGATGTCGATATTTCAGTGAGTCATTCATTGTCGATAAGCGTGCTAAGAGTTACATCCCACGATACATTGATAAGTCATGCATGAAATATGTCTGCCGGTGTGGAAGAGACGAAAATGTCGCTTAAAATTGTTTATATTTAATTCGTCCTTGGGGCATTCTACCAAATGTAGTCTATTCTCTTGAAATATATCATTACTTTGTCACGATACGTCTATGAACGACTAAGAAACTATATCTCTAAACTTCTAAAATTTCCATGGTCATGAACAGGTTCTAGTATGTTAAAACAAACAAACGAGAACATCTACATAAAAAGTCTTTCCTAAGAACTACAGACAACAGACAAACCTTCCTTTGAGTGGTTCGCTATTTGAATTAAAACTTTGATGTGAGTACTTCGGCTAAACCATGTTCATTGTTCGGTCACTTCTGGCGATTCTTGAATTATCGGTGAGAACGATGCTACGAGTGGTGAACTGTGATGTCATTTCTACATCTCACCAATCCCACCTGTCTCTGGGGTCAGGTACTTTTGGTTTGAATTGTTCGGCGGTCAATGAAAGCACCTGAAGTGTAGGTTAGACTCAGTTGTTATGGCACCAAAAAAATAACAAAAAGGTTATCAAAAGTCAAAGCTTTATTTGCAAACTTAAGTTTTGATAGATTTAGTACATTCGATTAAAATAATTGAACATAGCTGACTTACAAACGCCTTTTCGCATTTAAAAATTACAACATTTTTTGATAAACGAACATTTTATTCAAATGATAGGTATAGCTGCGGGCTTCCTTTACAAAGATGTACTCATCGTTTCAGTTCTTCTTTATTTCCCTGTTAATTTAGCTGGAAAGGGCATAACATTTACGCTATGAAATAATCAATAGGAATTTATGCATTATTACTAACTTTCATAATAATCCAATGCCTCACTGGATACTGTCTGCGTATGAGAACCAGTAGCACTATCTGAACTGGCTTTAGACACAAAAATTGCAAGCATCGTTGTACATGTTCCTTCTTTGATATGGTTCAGAGTTGAACAATGTCAGAAGAGCTACAGCTTCCTACCAGAAACAAAGATTTAGAAGCTAACCAAGTAAAATCTTACATGGAACCCCTTGCGTTTTAGTTTCTTTAAAGCAACATGCAACACCGTAGCTCTACTGAGCTGATGTCAAACATGGGCTAACAGGTCTTTATAAATGATCTCAGCCATTCGTTCATACCCAGCAGACTTCATATGCAATCCCACCTCCCACATTTGTTTTCGTTCCTCGCTACTTAACGAGTATCGTGGAAATTTATCCGCAAGATCACAAAGGATGGTAAATTCGTTGGATCTTGCGTAATATCTCAATTTTTCATTGATGTATCTCCTTTCCAAATGTGTGTGAAGGCAAGGTGGTCTCTTGGATTCCTCGCAGTCCATCTCAGGGATGGTGACCGCCACCGTTTTCGCGCCATAGCGATGAGATGTGATGTGAAGGTTTATGATGCGTTCTGCCGCTTTGTCCCAGGCTCTTCTGTTCCGATCGTGGCTGTTGTGAGCGATATCGTTTGTGCCAGCTAGTATTATGATCCAGGAATATTTGGATTTAGCTGTTAGGGAAAAAACCGTTGAAAATAATTGGATTAGAACGTACACCCTTTACTTTTAAAACAAGTGGGGTGAATTGAATGGTAGCTAAACAAGAACAACCAATAAGGCCGCATTACAATACGGATGAAGGGGGTTAGGATGAAGGATGTTCATCGTATGAGGTAAAAAAGAACCTTCACTGCTGTTGTTGTTTCCAGAAGCGAAACATTTCTCTCAGTGTAGACATCTTCCACGCAAGAATTGTCGTTTCGTCAGTTTGACCAGGATGTGACTGATATTAATAGTAGTTGTCAAAATATACGCCGTGCCATTTCACTCCCAGTAAAAATGATCTAGAATACCATGATAAGGTGTCCGCAGACCTCCATAAACGCATAACAAAACATTTATATTGGCTTAATAAAGCAGTCAAGTCAGTCCAAGTGACATGTACTTTGCGTATTATTATGGGTGTTAATATAATAAACGTTAACACAATGATGATCATTTTTTAATAATTCTGTACCGCGTTTTAGATGATCTTGAAGCCTGGAAGACATTTCTGCCGCTTCAGTACCGTCTTTAGCTACTGTAGTCACAGTGTAACATCTGTGTTGGTCTTTGTTCAGCAGAAACTCCAGAGTGTTGCCGTACGGCGTGTGACTTAAATCATCAGCATGGAAACCGTTTGTCAGGCTGTCGCCAAACGCAAGAATAGGCAATACCCGCACTCCTGTAATGAACATAGCTAATGTTGACTCGAGTGAACTCCACCAGGAAAGTCTCCATTCCCCCCACCCTCTCCCCTAACTCTGAATCGTTGTCTATCTTTTTGTAACATTATGCAACATTAAACCTGAATCAATATTGTTCACAACGAAGTAAATTCTGATCGACCGAGGCCTAACCTTTACATTAAAAAATGTTTTTTGATTGTTTCGTTAGAGCAATCCTAGAAGCATCACAAACAGCCAATCATAACGAATAATGATAAAACAAGGATTCACCAAGAACCCAAGGGCAATAAATGTGACCTCGTCGCCAATTTCTTTGACACTTAATCTATTAGAATTTATCAGAATTATTGTTGTCACAGAAGGATAAAGAGCTGAAACCCATGTGATTACCTTTCCTTATTTCGCATATGTAACCAGCCTTCGGCTCTCTGCACGAAACCATGTTAATGGAACCTTCAAATAGAGCCGCGCAATTTTTGTTCCCCAGCTCATCTTTTACGTCAACGTCACGTGTGTAGGGTACATCATCAATCCATGTCCAGATTCCTCCCTTCTTTCGCAGTCCTATATAGAAATTTTTTGTGCGATGTTTTAACGACACAATTTTATTTTGTAAAAATTGTACTTCTCCGTCTGTTTTCGGCATCGCAAGAAGACCATTTTCTTTATTGCACTTTTGCGGAAACTCTTCCCATCTCCCATTTGATTTTGAGACAAACAAATAGCAGAATTCGTCGAATGCAAGCCATCCATGAGGACACTTCTCTCTGTAATCTGTGCAAAAAATTGGAAAAAGGTCACCACTGAATTCCGTCCATTTCATAACCAAAAGGAATAAACCGCTGTGATGGTAAACAGCGCTTAATCGATACTAACTGCAGAAAAATTCTTAACTAACTCAAAAACACACACTCCGCTTTCCCGAGGGGCAATATATCTACTCATCTGACATCAGTCGTGACGCTGATTAATGTTGATATGTTATACGAATTAATACAAAAAAGGGAAAAAACTTTTTGATTACAATATGTAAATGTATGATTGCTGAGTTCCTTACTTCCTCTGATGTAACTGATTTTATTATTGGGAAATTCAAGTTCTACGAAATTTATATTGCGCTGCCACCATGCGACAGCTCTCTATAGGAACACGTTTGTTTAAACAAAGGAGACTAAATAAAACCTAATTTGATATTATGTTACCAGTTTTTCCCATTTTTTCGCATTTCGTTATTGTTGCCTTGTCTTCAGCTCCAAAAATACCTAATCAAAGAAAAGCATGGTAAATGGTTGATTAAGTTGTGAATGCAATAGTAATTTTTAAAATATGGTTATCTTCCCTGCACGTTTTAGCTCGAAGAGATTACCTGTATGTTGCTTCGTCTTTGTCGATAGGAAAACTTTGGTTATCCTATGTGGATGAACTTGTTTTTGATGGTGTTCATGTGCTGACACAAAATGATCACCACTACCTGACTCTCCTCCGCTGCCATGAGCAGACGTGTCATGAGCCAGACCCAATTTTGGAAATGGAATTGTTGTCCTTCTGTTGGTAATCAAAGAGGTTGGTTTTGTAAAATGTCTCTTCTTTGTGGGTCTGAAATGTTGTAAAGGATTCACTTTTTTGTCTTCTATGCTCCCATTTCCTTTGGTTCCATTATACATGTCATCACTTTCTTCCTCAATATGAGATAAAGCTTTTTCTCTGTAAGGTTGAGGTAAGGCATGAGACGTTGTGTTCTTTATCCTTATGCCAGTTTGGATGGCAAGTCCTAAAGCTGTCTTTAACTTCCTACTTAGATCATCACTGTTCTCGCCTGAATAAGAATCGTCTCCTGAAGACAACGATGCAGTCTCAGTTGTTTCACTCTCTCCTTGAAACTTTCCCAGTATTTCCTCTTCTCTTAAAGGCACAGTTGCTCCATTCATCTTCCAGGGAGTCGTCGGTCGTACAATTGAACCTTTGTTTTGAAAAGGCTCATCTTGTGCTGAACCAGCTGTTATAAGATTGATCGCCATAGGATTTTCCATAAACGCACTTTGAAAATAGTGTCTATCATCTGGATTCCCTAATAAAAACAGGTCGCTGGAGCGATATCCCGCAGCGTTCTCCGTTTCTGTGTTGGATGCTCCTTCATCACTTTGCCCTTTCATTGTATAGGAGGCACTTTTTGCACGTTTTTTAGCGTTTTTTACTGTTTCAGACCTTTCGTCCCATAATTGACCATAAAGCTTTTGCCGGAAAGATTTCAAACCACTACTCCACGCTCTTGCCTTAACGTCCTTGGCATGATTACGTAGAGCCTCTAAATCATTCAAATCGTCAGATATTTCTCCCATTTGTGGTTTAATAAGCGAGTTCAAATATCTGAAGCGAGACGGCGTCATGGACATCCAGCCCGGGTGTTCAGTGCTTTCTTGCCTAAGGGGATGATATCGAGAGCTTGCAGGTATTCTGCCTACGTTGTTCCTCTTAACAGCCTGAGATTTCCTTGACTTCTCGAGTAGCGAAGCAATATTGACAATCGCGGAACCTTCCACTGAATTTACGGAGTTCATGTCAGCGTAAAATGGCACCTCTCTGAGGGCACTATCCTTAAACTTGTTACTATGTGTAGTTAGTTCTGGGTCTTTTAATAATAAAGCTGACTGTTCATTATCGCCCTTTAAAGAGCTTTCCTTGGTAACTTTTATCTTCACTTTATCAGGATTGACATAATACTTATCCAGTATCTGAATCCGGGATCTAATCGTTCTTGTCTTTCCAGTTCTTCCCTTATCACCTCGCTTAGTCTGAAGTGTTACATGGCCACCAGTCAACCACTTATTCCGCGATTCCCCGTGCGGATGGACTGCCGTTGATTCCTCGTGTGTTAAGTTGCCTTCATGTTTTACCTCGGGCCAAACGTGGTGAAGATTAGTCTTGACAGGAAAAGTTTCCACGCCTAAATGGTGAAGAATCAAATCTTAGATTTGGAGATATATTCAGAAAAATATATTTCCAGGTACATAGGTAAGATTCCAGTGAAATGGATGGATGAAAAGTAAGAAGATCGCAGAGGGTAGTATAGCTATGATATCAATTGGAATAATTTATATTTGAAAAAGCAATTATCTTAAATGGCAGATCTTCTCTGCTACGCTGGTTACACGACGTTTGAATTTATGTCTAGAGATATCAATCAAGCGCTTGGCTGTATCTTACACATCACAGTTACTAACTCGTGCGTATCAGCCATGACAAACGTCAGTGCTTCAATCGTTTTCTATCCATATGAAGCCGTACTGAACCTGTTAATCTACCAGACTCTCGAGACAAGAAATGAAGCCAAACTAATGAAACAACCTTACCGACGCCTTAGGGTGATCATTTTCCAGTTATCGTTGCACTCGAGTTATCTGACTACCTGAAATCCTGAAATAATGTTACATTTACTTTCCCTGTTACTGCAGTGTTTTGTCAAAGAACGAAAGTACGCGGTATGAAATGTCCAACTAAATTCGTGCGCCAAGATGTCTTAGATTTGATCCCGCTGACGTCTATTGACATGTGAATGGTATAAGTTTAACTATCTTAGGAATAAGTCTTCCATGGCATTCGTAGTCTCATAGCCTGATCGTCTCCTGCTCAAAGCCAATACGATATGGTTGTGAACATACATGATGGCAGTTTTTAAATGCTGCGATATCTAAATTAAAACTGGCAAATCAAAACGTTTACCAACCTCTTAAAACACACAGGAAAAAACAAACCACTACAAATCCTCTTAGCAACCACACATCGTGAGCCATGTTTCTAATACCAGTATTACCGATCTTACAACAAGTCAACGACTCCACAGTTGCAACGAATTACTGAAGCTGTGTTTCACAGCTTAATTATTCAGAATGAAACAAATCCACACAGACATGTCTCACAAAAGCTCTTTTTTCTCGAGTTGGTTCCTTTAAAGTAACCACTCAAACACTTCAATTTTTGAGTCAGACCTCTTTAAGATTCTTAATTGGGTTGCTGGTACCACGTTGAGAGGAGGAACAGTCCAAAACATTCTTCATATCTTACTAAAGGGATAAAATATTTTGTTTCTACCTCTTCGCAATAGGAATATCCATGCAGGATGACGCCCTAGGTAAATATGTCAGAGGAAATTGTTATTTTTTTAAGAAAATTCAAACTACGTGGCCCTAAGAATGAAAAACCTGTTAATGATAGAAATCAACGGGTAACACATTCTTAAGTTGTCATACGCTTGATTGGGCGCATCGATGCGAAAAGACTCAAATTTTGAAGTTGATTTCACGGCTGACAAAGTTCCTAACGTCTGAGCGCAAAAGCCGAACTGGGTGTTTTCTTTCCATCTAGCGGGTCCCATATGTTTTGCGTACCAACGCCGCGCAAAACTGTTGTAGCGGTAGCGTTTGAACGCGGGAATGGAAAGGATCGCCAAGGATACGATGACATCTCGAGCCCCGCATATACAGACGTCGCCAGGACAGGGCAGAACCTCCATTCTTTAGAGGAGAGCAATATAACGTCACTTCAAGACTCCGCTGACAGCTCTGAAGTATTTAGTAGTAAGAAAAGCACAAGATGCACCTTAATTTGTTAACGTACCGTACTGAGAAACTGTTGACCATAGATAAAAAAAAAAGGGTGTGCCTTGGTCCTGAACCTGGTAAAAAATAACATTATGGTTACTGAAAAACATCTCATAGTGGTTTAAAAGTGCGACAAATTCGGCTGTAACCATATTAACCATATAATGTATTGGAATCATGTTAGCCAAAAAAATTGTTCGCAATGTTTTGAACAGCTTACACGGGTCCTGTTTGACAGAAACAAACTAAAAGTTTTCTTAAACGGCTTTGCTGCTTGTGATTGATAGATTGTACTGAGTCGGCTATAGCTTCGATTAATGACCTAAACAAGCAAACGCGCGAACGAAAGTTTGTAATCTCTATAGAAGTGGAGAACGTTTAAGGAAGGATATTCCTTCTGTTTTTAATACTGTTTCTGTTGCAAATCACTGAGTGCAGCTTCAAATTTAAACATGTGCTAACTCGAGACAGACCGAAAGAAAATGATTGGTACATTATGTATTTATTAAATATACGTATCAAAATATTCCTTATTTACATTTTTCAATACCTAAGTTTCCCCAATTTTCCTTTCATTCACCCAACCCTTTTTAATTCTGGCGTTTTAGTCTTAACCAACTTAAAGATTCATTCACAGTTTATACAGAACCAGTGAACGTTAGGCAATAGAAAGGTCTGAATTCATGTAGCCCTTAATTTGGTATAACTACACTACCAAGAAGTTAGTTATACGCTATTTTGTGATACCTGGCTTTTAATCCTAGGAGGAAAAATGGAAAACCACAAAAGATATTTACAGTTCTCGCAAAATGTTAGGATCTATGTCAGTTAAAATCTAAATTGTCCACGCTAGAAAAAAATTTACTGCAATTTACAACCGCCCCTATTAGTGATAAGTTATAGCCTTTTTCTCCTCCATTTCGGCATTAATATCAACACGGAAAGACCGAGCAAACTTTCATTCTTACCATACATATTTAAGCGGTTTGCCCCTAAAAGATACCTTAGTTTAACTTTGAGAAGTCTCTGCAGAGGTCATTATTTTACATGGCTAATAAAACCTTCACATATAAATTTTTAAAGGTGTCACTAATGTTTCCATGGAAATAAGTACTCTTTCCGCCAGACAGTACTGCTTAGTCGCTGATTTACGTTGCCAGGCAAAGTTCAGGAGGTAAGCGCGTATTACCAAATCAGCAAAGAATTTATTCTACTTAGCTAGGAATCCGGCTTTCTTTTAATTTACACTTCTCTTTTTATCTGTGTGTTTTAGAGTCTTCTTATGGTTCTTTGACTTGTGTAAACTTCGCCTCCATCTTTTCACGTGTGGCTTCTTTCTCAATGCGTGTATAGTATGCTCTGCCTTGAGATACTTTAAAATTTCCCGCTGAATATCAAATAACTTGTCCATTTTGTTCAGCATTTTGGCCATAACAAGAGCGTTTGGTGAATTGTCTGGTTGGTCAGGGACATCAGTCCTTTTTCCTACAGTGAACTGTTGTCCAGCATCTAATTTCTTGTTCGATGACAGCGTATTGAAAAACTTCAACTTGTGCAACCTTCCTTCCGTCGACCCTTCCCTTGTCAGCTTGTCTTTTTCCGAAATTTCGGAAAGATGATCTTGTTTATTGTCTGAACTCCACCGGGACCTCTCTTCCCGATTTTTCTTTAAGCCACTAATTCGATTTCTTAGGAAATGACTCGTGTCGATTCGATTTCTTGAACCTTTGAGCCAAATATTTATCTCATTCCTCCTTCGTCGCTTGATGTCATTTTCAAGATCTTGCAGGTCACGCTTTCTAATGTCCTCCCCATCACTGATGCCGTCGTCCGTTTTGAGATTGTTAATACGATTCTTGGCACGCTGCATTGCAGAGTACTTTGCGGCCTCGATGATGGTCAAAATTTTCTCAATTTTCTTTATTTTATCCACTTCAAGTTTTGCAATGTTTTCTTTTCTGATGTCCTTTCGAATCTTCTCTTCATCATCTTGGATTTTCTTCTTTACTTGAGGGTCATCTGCCATTTTATCCTTTTGAAGCAGTTGTTTCTCTTTTGTAATTTCAGCTTTCTCGTTCTTCATGTCGTCTTCGTATTGTGTAGTCTCCATTTTAGCTTGTTTCTCAATATCATCGACGATGTGCCGCACGGAAGTTGGTGATAGCCCTATGGCCTCCTCAATCTTGGACATAGCTAGACTGGCTCTTTCGGTGTCATGAAGCTTTCTGTAAGCTTCTGCGATCAAAGGATTGACTGAAAATGAAAAAATTTTAATTAAACTAATATTTCATTTTTCCTCTTGGTTAACGTTGGCTATATTTGTGTAACCGCTAGACAGAGAGCTAAATCCACCATACCTCAGGAAAACTATTTAAGTTAGTTTTTATTTCTCGTGTGCAGGGCTCTTGAAGAAGTAAAAACAAAATGTTTCGCTTCACTAAAAGTGTTTCATCTTTTTTTTTCATTTTCAATATTCGATGAGTATGGTATAAGATGCGCGACAAATGATTGACTTCAGTATATGACATAAAAAGAGACTTGTCATTTACTTTTAACAAATTTTGATCTTGGAAACCTTACTCACTGATTTACCAAGCTGGTAGCTTGTAAGATAGCTCTATGTTAGAGGCTTTAAAAGATTTATAAAATCAATAATTGTTCTGATAGGCACTCTATTAAAGGTATAAGCACGCTCGACATCTAATCATCAATTGAAATAAATTTGTGTTTACCTGGAGCTTGATAAGGTGCAACTGGAGGATAATACATCGGGGAATTCCAAGAGTACTGCGGGTTACTGGACGGGAGAGGTTGGGTATTCCACGGATAAAACGAACTGGAGGGATAAGCCCCTGAGAGCGCCTGCTCGCCGGAATAAGCCGCTGAACCTGAGGGTTGAAAGCTTACTGGACTTGGTTGTGTCGTGACCTGAGGTTGGTCCTGTTTAGTGTAAATCAAATATTTAAAATGTTTATGGTTGTGATACTAGAAAATATTCAAAATGTTATCTCTTTAGGGTAGATGAGCACCCGAGTAGTTTAGCTGTATAATTACGGCTATGGAGCCTAGGGCATGTAGCCACTTTACTATCTTTATAACCACTGTAAAGCTTTCCCTGTGACAATGAAAAAGTTAAACAACAGTTTACCGCTAATGAATCTTAGAACACGTCTCCACAGCAGAAGAAAACCGCGACGAGTTTCGTAAATTTTTCTTGTGAAACAATATATTCTTTGATCTTGATCTTTCAGGATGGCTGTATATCAGCCTGTGTTTTTTTTTCCAGTTCTTATATACTTCGACCCCCTTCTTAATTGAGTATAAAACTTGGCTAATATCCACCATTTTGACTTTAGGCTTACACAGTCACACATACATGACTCACATTAAGAGCGGCATATGGTGTTACTTCCGGCTTCGCAGGTTCAGGAGCCTCAGCTTGAGGTTTCTTCGGCTGTACGTGCGGAGCAGAAGTCTGTTGTGGCACCTGGACGCTAGCAAGCGGTTGATGATATGGCTGCGTTGCAAACGAGTTTGGAACACTGGACGGGGAATCAAAGTATCTTGACATTGAAGCTAATTTTGCAGACAGGGCACCAGGGTTGAACGATGCAGCTTGAGGTGCTGACTGTGTCAAGAAACCGTTTTGTTGTCCAATAGCTGATTCAATCGTCTGCACTGGCATTGCAACTGGCTGAACAGGTGCAGCTGGTAGGAAAGGCTTAATGGGCTGAGCTGGTACGGCTGGTTGAGCTGGTGCGGCTGGTTGAGCTGGCACGGCTAGTGCAGCTGGCACGGCTGGTAGAGCAGGCACGACTGGTGCAGCTGGCACGGCTGGCGGAGGTGGTTTGGGTGTTCGAGATGGTGCAACTGGCTGAGGAGGTGTAACCAATTTAACAGGCTGTTGCTTAGGCAGTGGCTTAGGTGCTGAAACATCTTTCTGCGGTTCATTCACTTCACTACCACTCGAACCATTATCGTTAGATGGAGTCTTGGGAGTACTTCCAGTCGTCTGTGTTTCATGAGGCTTCTTTATCACTGATGAACTTGCCATATCACTGAAATCAATATCTGCTGGGTTGATTTTAGTGTCAGTTGCCTCGTTCGAGAAGCTCGCTACCTGACCACCCTCTGGCTGCACAGATTGTTCGCTAAGTTGATTATCGCTTTGAGGTGAAAAGGCTGATACGCTTGTCTCTTTGACTGTAAAAAAGGAAATCATTTCCTTAGGAAATTATTCTCATAAAAGAAAATTTAACCACGCTTAATGCTAACCCTTAGGATACGAACCAAATCCTGGTTGACTTTTGGCACTAGCACGATTTTAAATACAAGTGCCATAGCTTTGACGATGATCGGGTGCTAGCTAAAAGACGTGAATTTCCTTATTTTCCCTTTTAAATGTGGTAATCTAACCCTCTTTGATAACACCTTTGCTTTATGAAAATTATGGTTCTCCATTTACTGCTTACTTGAGTTTATTCGTTGTAATTCCGTGTCATCTTGATGGTTTGGCTGAGGCAAAGGCCCCACATTAGCATGAGCAGGTAAACTAGGAGGCGGTGGCTCGCTCGTAAGAGCCGGAGCCATACTTGGAGGGGCTACTGCTTGAAACATCTGAGGTTGATAACTGCCCGTGTATGACGGCATGACAGGTTGATAAGCAGGCTGTGAAACTCCCCCAAAATAACCGGCAGCTTCCGGTGGATACGAAAGCGGCGATCCAAGATACATTTGGGGCGTGGACGCAATTTTATCCTTTTGAGCTCTGACGAGGTCTTCGTGAGCTCTTTCTTTCGCCAAATACTTTGCTGCCTCTAACTTCACTATCAGTTTCAAAATACTTTCTGCTTGGTTGACGTCCTCGTCAGCGACTTTTTCAAGCTTCACGAATTTCTGTTTCTTTTGACTGTCCTCAGTTTGATCGGCGAGTTTCTTGAAGTTTTTCTCTTCATCCTTGAGTTGATTCTCTAAATTCTTGGTTTTATCTTCAATCGTCTTAGGACTTAATCCAAGCTCGTTTTCTATGTTACTGAGTGCTTTAGCTGCTTTTATAGCGCGCTGTAACTTCTCTCTTGCAACTACCACAGGATCATCTAGGGATATTTAAAAAAAGATGTTTACGTCAGTAGTATATCATTTATAAACATGTCAATGTTAATAATCATTCCTTCTTTTTAATGATACCTTGAAGAGGGAGCTGCCGCTTTTGGCGTGCGTCGGTTGTGGATTTCATACTAGGGGATGTCTTTGGTACATGCTCGTTATCTGCAAAAGAGATGAAGAGCAAGGGGTACGTTAAGTGACCTATTTTGCATTCCAACCGTTGTGAAGGTGAACAATGTTAGTTGTACAAAGTTACAGTTATGAAAATATCACTTTACTTTATCTGTTACATAAAAAAAAAATAGAGAATGAAAAGAGAGTAAGTCAGATGTGGAAACATTCGCTATAGCTAATTAATTTGAATAATTATCAATGCAGGAGAATGTCGACCTGGCAGAAAGGTTACAAGATCAGTCTAGATTAGTTGCGAAACGTTAGCGGACTAAGAAATAGTCAGAAGTAAATTGATACAAGAAAAAGTAATAGCATTAAATTCTAATTGTGTTGTTAGAAAATATCATTTTTCTTTCATAAGTGGAAAACTAACCACACGCTTAAATAATTTTTCCAAAATCCAGCATTGAACACCTAACAATCCTAGATGTTGAGATTTTGAGAAGGATACTCAAAACGTATTTGCAAATAAACGTGACATGAAACGTTTTCGCTCAAAGAATCAGGAGCTCCCTCTCCAAAGCAATCTTTACACATTTACCCTGACCTAGAAAAAGGACAGTCATTTATCTTTAAATAAGTCAGGAATTTTCCTCCGATTAAAAACTGAGACTCTCCTTTATCACTGACACAAATATGACGATGACTTCTCTGACCTTGATGTTTTTCACTTTTCTTCTCTCCTTGAGTTTCGTGAGAATCATTGTCTTCTTCATTAGCACCATCATCATCGTCATCATCCAGATCGTCAGAGGGGAATTCTTCCACAGTGGGGATCCCGTATTCCTCTAGCATGGGATAATCAATAATATTTTCCCCCAGTAATGGACTGAACTGCTCCAGATCTCCCACATCTTCAAAAAACTCTGTAAGATTTTGAGCGATACCAGGTTAGCATTCAAACCCACCGATCATGCTAAGCAGTTCCCTTAGTATTGCAACAACTGCTTATAAAAAAATATGATATCATCTAATTGGCTAGCTCCTCCCCTCGTTCAGTTTTGTTCAAAAGGATAATAAAACTTGTGAAAGGACGACTGAATGAAGCTTCATTAGTTCTCACAACCTTTTAATTCTAACAGGTTTTAATTCCGATGGTTTGACACAGCTGGGAATGAATATGAACAAACGTAAATACAGACAAACGTTATACTGTTCTAATGATCACCATCTTAACTTCTGTCGCGTGGATTAACTTGAGGGGGGGAGGACCGAAGGTGAGGGGCATCCAGAATCCTCAGTGTATCATTGTTCATTGTTCTACCTTTTGTCTCAACTGCTTACCTTGAGCAATGGAGTATTCCAGCAGGGGGAAGACTGAGACCAAGAGAAGGACCAGCCTCAATGAAGCAGAAGCCATAAGATTTCTGCTGAAAATAAAAGACTCCAAGACTTTATACAAATGTGTGCTTATCGATTTTTTAACACAAATTTTAAAAGGATCTCAGATCACGAGTATACTGGCCTTCTAATTATTTAGTGCTCAGAATTTGCGCCATGGGTTATAGCTTAAAGATTGTTTCCTCCTTGTGGGCCAACGTATTCTAGGTAGGTTTTATACCCTCTCCGATCCCATCTATTTTTTTACACTCTACAAGGATCTTGAAATGACGAAATCCACTTACGCAAGTTTAGCTCACTTCGTCTTTCTCCTCCCAAACATTTAACTAAACGCACCAAAACCATGAAAACTGATCCGCATAAGACCAGATCCATTAAGACACTTGATTACATTTTGGATAAGGTATACTAAGGATCCACTCTCTTAATCTTCTCTTCATTTGTCTACTGACTTCACCACATATAAACCTTAGTAAAAACTCCTGCCGTCTGATGGAGGGAAGACTAACCTTTTCTGGGTTAGAGATTATAAATTCATGCATCTCGTACTTAAGTCATACTATAGCGGTTTATTCAGCTTTACGATACCTACTGCTCACCTGACCAAGCGAGTAGTTTTTCCATGGAGCTGACCATGTTTTTTTCTGCTTGGTGAATCGAATGATTTGAAAGATGCACATGATTGGCTCACTTCATTTCATGATGGTGAAAAGATTACAGAGGGCAACACATTACTTAGAAACATCATGTTTAGAAGGCGAAATTTTCTCTCTATTCTTGCTATATTGCGCATCAAGACCTTACTCGTGATTCATGAATATATAAATCTTCAAAGTGTTGTTTAATGTGGCAGGGATATGCATGAATGACTTGCACATTCACCGGTATCGCAGCGAGGATATATGCCCATGTATACAAACCCAATATTTCAAAAGTATTGCATCTTGTATACATGCTAAATTCTTTGTGTAAAACTTGAGGATTATCCATACTCAAATTACTATTTTTAGGGAAGGGAAGGTTTTGGATCATTGAGTGTGAGCCACACGGATTTTGTATGTAATGCCGTTACCTGTTATAAGGTATTTAAGGACCTGACGAGGTGAACACGAAAACAGACATACGACAAAAGAGGCGTTTAACAGCCGACATACAGCTGGCTCAGCTGTAAACTTTTACTTCTATCTAAAACTTAGAGAATTCATAAATTCACAAACTTAAAATTTGCGTGTTTTTCTACTCAGAGCTTTCTTTTAGGCGCATATCCTTAAATCATACATTAAAGATAAATATAAATGCCTACTGCTGCCCTCAGTCACCTTATCTAAATGCTACCTGTTAGCAGTTTTAGCAAGTTGTCTGTCCTCTCTCATTTCTTTGTTGCCTCAGCGAGCTTACTGGGACATTTTTTCAAATCATTCATTGAGAATAATCTTTTAATACTATTGAATTGATTTACTTTAGAGACGGCCTTTTTTTCAACTGTAGTACAACATGTTTTGAAAGTTTTGTGGCCATCTTTTTTCACTATAATCTATTATTTCTTATAACCAGTTTGAAACAGAATTTAGAATCTATTTTGAAAAATTATTATGGTCATATTGATTTAGTTCGTCGATAACTGAAGGGTTCTTGACATTATCCACTTCACCCTTGATATATATTCATACAAAGCTCTCTTCCCAAGGTAGTCCTTGTGATCAAATATTTCTATTTTTTTAGTAAGTTATTGAATAAGTCATGCCCTTACCGAGTTGCAAAATTAGAGTCGGACATTTCTTTAACGATAACGTCCCCATTTTGGAAACATCATAATTGCTCAAGGAATAAAAATATCAGAGGACCAGTCGCCTAAACTGTTCACTTATCAGTAAAATATCTCAGTAAAATTTGATGCAAAGTCGGCTACGAAGCCCCACAGATATGTCATATTCTAAACTTGGATAGAAAATCAAAAGGGCGGTCAAGCATTTTTAGTTTATCGCTGGAAGAGTGGCCTCATTGAAAATCTTCACCAAGCATACTCACGTATAAATCGCCAGAAACATAAAAATTAAGTAAAACGCACCACACTACAAATACTGGGTACAATCTAAGGCTTAACCAGGCGCACAATATATTTGACACGGGGCTGAAAAGGAACCTTCACGCGTGTAGGTGACACGGTTATGTCTCGCTTGAACGTTCCAAATCATTTAATCCCTCCCAATTCACGTTGAAAAACAGATCTTAAAGTAACCTTAAGCTTCTGCTCTTTGAGCCATGTAAATTGAAAATCACGACGTTTGGATAAGCAGCCATGATTTCGGGAACACCTTGAAGCCAATGAAGTGAAATAATCACCTACCTGTAAGAGTTCAAGCGATTGTCATCTTACGACATTAACCAGTGTAAAATTCTGCGTTTGAATTTCAAACCCAGAGAACCAAAACGGATTCTGGCGGGGTAAAAAATACAAGACTCCAAGGAACTAAAACATATCTTAATTCCTCACGCAAAAAATCTCGCCTAAGGATTCGCCATTTCTTTTCCACCTTTGGTGTAAAAATATGAACTAAGATTGATTTATGGGTTGAGATCATCATTGAAAATGGACCAATCAGGTGGAGCCATTGAAAATCATTGTTTCGTTTGTTGATCCCCGGGAATTAAGACCAGTCAAGCCGTGGAGTACCATTTACCTGTTGTTTGCATTGGATATTATCAACAAAATTGAACATGTTTTCACGCGCGTTCATATGACTTCTGGAAAAAGAGTAAAACACTTTCAGGTGTTACATTTCCAGTGCAAATCTTGGGGCATTTATTTCCAGGTTACCTCTGATCACGAGTCATCAGTAGGTCGGGTACAAGTTAAATGTCTGCAATTCCCTTAATACTAGTGTACACGGTAAAAATTTCTCGATGCCTACATATATTTTATTGTCTAAAATAATTCCACTTTAGAAATTGTAGGGAAATATACCTAGTACTGTTTCCACTGAAGCGCGTGCTTACGAGATGCCCAAGAAGGCATGCCTGATGCAATGGTGAGAAAATAGTTCTACGCGTACAGAAGTCATTATTATGTTTTCATTTTGCTTGTTTTGTTTAGTTTTAAGCTGTTTCTCGACAAAACCAATTGGCACTTGACATATCTGTTAAAAAACACAAGCACTTTTGAAATAAAAAGGGCCATTTCAAAATGTCACCACCACTACAAATTCCGATGTGGCGTAAATTCACACCTTTCAGCATCAAGGTCACCTGGAAAGGTAATGGCAAGTGCGCTGTTTTCCGTTGGACTCCAGTAGTAGCAACGAGTATGACAGATTATTAGGATTATTGTGATGTGATGCTGGAAAATACGCTTAACCTTCATAGCGCTTCCCTATAGCAAAAAGTGAGTGAGCTTTTTGGAAATCTTGACTTAAGGTATCAACCTGCAATGTGAAAATTTCACTGTCTATACTTAACGTTTACCTGTTTCTTAACATAAGGTATTCCTCAGAGTAATTACTAATCGGAACAAGATACCACTTCACATACTTTTAGATAAAAATGTTTTGCAGATGTAAAAATAGAAGCAATTTAACCGTATTGAATAAAATAGAGGAATATAAACACAATTCCATAGGCCATTTCCGCATTATCTTTGGCCTCTTATTCAAAACGAGGCCTGGTGCTCAATCATTCGTTTTAAAATGAGTTTCGTTTACATGTTAACTTGCGATCATATAAAAGGATAAGCACCAGAACTCGCTTTGAAAAAGAGGCTAACGGTGTTTCGGAAATGGGCATTATAACATCCCTTTTAAAACTGTCTTGTCATCTTCCGCCGAAAACTATAGTTTCTCTCGAGTTCTCGTGTAATTACTAATAATTCTATAAAAAGAATGAAAACGAATCGAGAAAATCTAGTTATAGGATGACCAAAATAAGAGGAAATTAAACCCATGAGAACATGTTGATCGACAATTTACCTTCGTACCGGTTGAACGTGGATATAATTCCCTAATAGCTTTATCATCACTATGGGGCTATCATGTCAAACATCCAAACTTCTTTAAAATAAACGATTCTACCTATACATTCTTTTATTCTACTGAGGGCGTTTAGCGATCCTTTTTGCCTCCCACAGCGATGCATCACGTCAGTCGCCATAATTCCCCCTCATTTCGGCTTCGAACTAGCCTTTTCCTATAACGTTTTCCAACTGGAGTATTTTTTTGAGTGAGGGTCTCCGATGATGATAAATCATCGTTCCCTGATGGTGATTTTGACAGGTAATTTGCCATAGCAATTGGGTCAAAAAGAATTATAATAATGTTAAGCTCTGAGTTCGGACGGATGGTGCCGCAGGTTGTCATATCGGGATACGCCCTCCAACCTTTTTGAGTCTAGAAGAGAGTACTCCTAATATAACATAAACATTCCCATAACGAGCCTTTCTACTCTTATTAAAAAAAACTATTGTTAATGTATCTTACATATTCAATATACACAATACTACGCACCAAGCGTACGGAAGCACTTTTTTTAGTGATCCCATCAATACTAAATACCTGAACATTGCCTTGGTTGATCACAAGACAAGCGGCTCTGGCAGTATACTCTTGGTGCTAAGAGACAAAGCAGATTGACCAGGTTGACTTGGTGGGACTAATCTTTGCTGGCACAACACTTACGCATCCATTATCTCTAAGAAAAGCAAATAGGCTAGGTTTGGTAGTTGCGCTCAGTTTACGCCGTTTTGCGGATTGAATGTGCCACCCCACTTAATTCTATTGTTCGCTGTATAAGATCATGCGCAATAACAGTTGAAACATTTCAAGCGATTTCCACAAAAGATCAGGAAAAATGGGCGAAAAAAACGTTTTGCTCCCTTTCCATTACTTAGAGGATAGATATGTGAAATTCAGAATGTGAAACAGTTACCAGCACTTTTGCATCACATGGCAGCGTCCTGATTACCAAAGACGAGAAACCTCCCGACAGATAAGCTTTTTCGTATTGATGTTTCTATCGCTGTTAGTCACTTTATATTTTCCACGTTTGATATTTTATTTTGCTGGTTGATGTCAAACAAATCTTTGTTGTAGATCATGGCCAATGATAGCATATCAGTGTCCGTGAAAGGTGGAGAATTTCCTCTGCCTCTGTTGCACAGAACGAAAAATAACTATCATTCACCTCCAATGGGCTATTTTTCCGTTTGTCCCCCAAAATTTTGTGTGAGCTTCGTTTTAAAATTTCTCTTGGGATTAGAAAGAGAAATTAAAAACAATGCAAATGCAAAATTTTGGGGGACAAACAAGGTGTATCAGGATGGAAGAGTCGAAAATACCGAATGATGAGTTGTTATCTCTATGAGCAATTGAGCAAAATATAATCGTGTATGTTATGATCTAAAACGCCTGTGTAATCTTCCCGTTGGAAAAATATTTATATGTACATATAAGGCAGAAAGGTGAACAGCATTTAGATGTGTTTTAAGACCAAGAAGACAAAATTTGGACAATCCATCCCCCGTCATTCATCAGGGCCATGTTTCATATATTACGTTGTTCAAGGTCGAGCTTAAAATAACAAATCTCACACATAAATTCTTAGCAAAGGCTTCATCCATTAAGATCTTATTGATTTTATAATACCAACACTTTTTTTGTCAGAATAATGTATCATATTGACTCGTTCAAACTATTAAACTTTATTATTTATGTCAAACTTAATTTGTTCCATGAAAACATGTATGAAAACGGCTGTTAAAAAATATTTTGTAAGTCTTAAATACTTTCCACCAGATTTTTTTTTTGGAACAGGTTCTATGTGTTACATGTAAATGATACCCATTTTATTTGGCTCGCTCTTCATGTGATTTGAAGAGGAGATTTTTTGCAGCTGCTTTTGAGTGTTACTGCGGTTCACATTTTTTGCTTTAGCCTCTTCCCTTATTTTCCCGCGCTCTCGGACGAGTAACCAATCTCGTTGCGATTGCTCTCCCTATTAACTTTCTTATGCTGTTTCGTTTGTAGGGTATAACTGGTTTGATGGAGTCCTCGTTGATTGTGTTCAGAGGTATCCTCGGACCCCTTGGTTGGGTATTCATCTGAGATGTGGGTTTCCCTCCAGGAATTAAACCAGATATAGCTTTTATGGCATTTTCTCCAGCTTTTTTGAAAAACTCCAAAATGTCTCTTGATTTTCGTAGTTGTGCTGATGCTAAGAGAGAAAAGAGAAGCATATCACAGAAGAAACATTTTTTTTTACAAGATCCATCACTTCAGAGCAACAGAAAACAGTAGCAGGTATCTATCATTCTCATTGGCTAACAAGGAGTCTGACTTCCCCAAAACAAATAAGAAACAACAGCTGGTCAAAAATTTCTATTTAGCGAGAAATCCAGCGAGGATCAGGGATTAGACGCGGATTAAATTGTCCTACTATACTAAACAAGGCGAGTGCAATGAGCGTAAGTTCAATGCATTTTAAACATGAATATCCAGACTACATAAATCCATTAGATTAAGGCATCACAATAGTGTCTTCATGTCACAATGGGCAGGTACGCCGGGTACCAAACACACTGATTATCAAAACAACGACGGTTCTAATGTCAAATAGTTGTAAATCTCAAAAACAAGTTTAATTAACTCTGCAGTTACCATTACACTTGGATAAAGCCACGAATAAACAAATAAATTTAACTTATACCTTGAATATGAAGTTCTACAGAGAGAATAATAAGGATGAGGAGCATAAACATAGCTGGACGACAACCGGGTACAAACACTAACAGGTCTACCACGTGTTGTACACTGCGGTACGAAGCAGACAGCTTTGGCGCATTGCAGGCGGAGAAGGAATGTTTCTTTCAATCTCTAAAAACACCAATGTTATCTTAACTCAAATGTAAACCATCCAGTCGAGTGGATAAACATGTCAAGGAATAAGCTACTCATTCACATATTCACATGTAATGTGACATCGACAGGTATAAATATTTGACAACCAGCAAAAAGAGTAAACCAGACTCTTGTTTGATAAGGCCAATGAAACGTATCATTTGGACGGCCCTAGGAGGTGCATACCATGTTTAGTCCAAATTAAGCCGTTTATAACTGATACCAAATGAACATAGTTCAGCCTCCCTATGTAAAGAAAGGCATTGAAGTACAGAGATCAAATACCCAAGTGTACTAGACAGTGAAAAAACGTATAGACAAACATTGCGCGAGGATATGCAACACTCTTTACTGCCATTTTGCTGAAAAACAAATTGGAAACGTTATCTACCATCAGCTGTTGTGGTCGAAAACTTATATCATACCTGGCAACCAACGATTCAGTTCAGTTTCATGAAGAATTTTTAAGCCAAAAGTTAGGTGATCACGTGATACGACCAAGGGCCGGAGTTGGCGGGGAAAACCTTCCAAAATGCAGTAAACGACGGATATCTTCTTCCTTTAAAAGCCCCTATAGATATTTTTCGGTCTTTTAATAATTGTTTCCTACAGTTGTCCGAAAACGAAAACGAAAACCTTTTCAACCACAGGAAATGTATCTTGGGCGTATAATCAAATTCTCAAAGTAACATTGAAAAGTAAAAGTACAATCCGCATAAAATGCTTGGAAATTGCACACCTTGAGACAAACAAGATTTTATTGGTGAAGTCAAGAATAGAACAAACATTTATTGTTGCTTGCACTGATTATTGATGGTCTGCGGCATTTGTTTATATTAATTAAATTATTTGTATTTTATTGGATTTTATTGATGCAAATTGATACAAGTAAGTTAAACACAATAGGCTTAATTCAAGCAAAATTCACTAGAACTAATCAGGGTAGATACTCAGTTCTCTGACTGGCCCGTTTTGATTCAGTTTTTGGACAAAAGTCATGCAAAACATAGGGCGCAAAAAGCCACTCATTAACAATGGTTTTGCATCGCTTCAAAATCGTATTTGCTTCACAGCAATATTATGTAGGAATAAAAAAAAAACTCCTCCGGAACTTGACAAAGAATAGCAATCGTGAGAATGTAAGTAGTATCTGGGTAACTTGGAATTGATAACACTTGCTGATGACAATTTTAAGGCTATAACCTGGAAGCCATTTGTGACAGGAACCTGTCTCAGATTTAGCCGGCCTTACAGAATACTAGTCAAAAAGACAATTTCAAACGCGAGAGAAAAACAGCTGTCATTGTCCGCTGTTAAAAGGTGAGGGCGAGATTGCCTCTGATCCTCCTTCAAATAAAGAGCCTGGGCGACACGGGTGGTTTAACATATTGCTTATGTCATTGGTTTAGAGGCTAATTACGACAAACGGAAAACTTTTTCATGATTTGCAAACTGTAAGCATACTGACTATATATCTAAAATAACTGGTTTAAAAACTGTTCTACCGCTCCTTCAGTGTGCTCAGATGTCATCCTCTCTATATCACGTGCTTTGATTCCGAACTTTGCTCCTATAGCTTTTGCAAGGCTAGCTGCTTTTTTAAGGGAGTTATTTACGTCATCAAACACCTGTCGAAGCCTGTTCTGAGTTTCGCAATGCGCAAGGAGTGCTTGAGCCACTTTGAATTTTAAATTGTTAGTTTTTATGATCTTTTCTTTCAAAATGTCGATCTTGGAAGCTCCAGAGACTGGTTGTTTAACTGAGGAACTTTTGTCATCCTTACTCTCTGGCTTCTTTTCAACTTGCGTCGTTTTGACGTCGTGTTGCTCATTGACCGAGACTGCTTTTGGGATTTGTGAAGGATTCTTTCCATGTTCAGCTAATGAATTGTTTCTATCGCTTAAAACCTTACTTGGTTTCGAACCTTTCGGGGACATTGCTTTCAATTGCTCCTCCAGTGTTTCTTTATGTTTCTGAGGTTCGGTTTTCGATTTTTCTGAGTGATGTATACTTTGATCTTTACCCAGAAGTTCCTTATGTTTTTCAAGGGATTTCATGGTGGACTGTTTACCAGAATCCTTCATTTTATTAGGGGTTACCTTCATTACCTCAGTAGCGTGCTTAGGCAAATCTTTCCCATGTTTAGGCTTATCCTTTGTGGTCTTGGCAAGGACGGTTTGCTTGAGATCTGTGAGTTTAAAACCAACCTTAGTCTCGTCTTCTTGTTTAGGCCTCACTTGGACCTGAGAAGATTTTGGTTTCCCTCCAGTTGGAGCTTTATTTTGAGTGTTAGCATCTTTTACATGGGGTACGATGGAAGCAGGGGCACCGTCCTTAACAACGTGGCTGTTTTTGCCTTTTCCTCCCACCTTAGAGTTTACTTCGCTTTTTACTTTCTTTGGTAAGTCTTTTCCCTGATCATGATGGGATTTCACAATTTTCCTGGTCTTGTGTTCCACTACAGCTTTATGACCGTGTTTATTTTCAATGTTAGCTGCCTTGTCTTTCATTGTGACCAGCTTCTGAGTGTGCTCTTCACTTTTGCGTCCTTTGAGACTTGAAGAGCCCTGGACAACCACTTGTTTTTGTAGATTCTCCTTCGCTCTATCCTTTACCAATTTCTTAGCTGTCTCGTTTTTCGTTACTTTATTTGCAGTCTTCTTTTTACCTACATTTTTTGTCGTTGCATCTTTGTTTGTTCCCTTGGATGGATTATATTTGACTTTTTTTTGCTGAGGAATAACTTTGTTGGTGTGTTGTTGTTTGGCCAGTTTGTGAAACTGCATTGGTTTTGCTAAGTGCACAAGACGTGGCGAACTTTTGGATTTCTCTGGCAACGCGTCTTTCACCTTTTTTGTAACCTTCTTATCGTCATCACCCTTTTGTTTCTTCCCAAGATTCTGTTTCACAGAATGGCTTTTCCTGATGCTTTGCATGAGTTTCCAATATTTATCAAAACCTTTTAAATGGAAGTATTTACGTAAAACATTTGGGTCCATCTTCGCCAGTATCGCAAGAATACGTTTGTGCTTTTTCGTTAGCTTTCTACGAACCATCTTTTTCGGGCCGGTTTGCTTCTGATCTCCCTCAGGATGTGCGATTTCAGATTTCTTGCTGCTCGCTTCAATCGTGGACTGCTCGCCGCCTGCAAAATACTCTACCAGTTCCCTATATGCTTTCTCGGGGATACCGCTGTGGATATTCAAACGGGTGTCTCCTCCAATTAAAGCATTAACGAGGTTTTCTTTACTTATTTCATCAGTGCTTACTTTCTGTATTGCTTTTTTATCTTGTGGCCTTGAAACTCGTTTAGCTTTCGCGGCGGTCAAAACTTTTGTGCCTTTCTCTCTGTCTTCGACCTTTTTCTTTTGTGACGTCTTCTTTACTGGATGTTTGTCCATTCTGATGTTCAAACCCGGCTTCTTCAACAAATGAGAAGACCCCTCCGCTTTTTTGTCCTCTTTCTTGACTGCGACAGAACCTTTCCCTTTATTGTGAAGTCTCTCATTTTTAGCGATATCTCTGCGGACAATTGGTCGGCTGACTTCGGATAACAAGTCGGCATCCGTTTGTGCACCTTCGTCGAAGTCGTCGACAGATCGTGTGGATCGTAAATGCATTTTCTCATCTTCTTTTATCATACCTCCGCTTTCTTGTATCAGCCATTGATTGATCTCGTTGGCGAGTAATCTAGATTCCCTTTCAGCCATCTCTATTACTTCTTCAAGCCTCTGAATTGCATTGTAATTCCCTGAAATATCAAAAAGGCAAAACGAGAAAGAATTCAGGAGTTAGGCTGACATCACAAGAGGAAGCCAAAATATTTGAAAAATATCTGAGTTTCAAATATTTTTCAAATTTTTTACCTACACATATTTAAACCCTTAACCCTCTGATAGCTAGCATATTTTATTGCCAATATTAGCTTATAGGAAACCCTCCAGTGTGTTCACAGTTTACATAGTTAACTTCACAAGAAGATCATACAGAACATTCGTAGTGCATTTTCCAATGCAGGCTGATGACAAAAACGAATGACGTCTTTTTTTGAACCGCGTTAAAAAATGGGATTTTTCTTCTGCTAATTAGTGAAAAATGTATACAGCTTTATTATTAGCAAAAATACTCCGCTTTTCATTCAATTCTCGCTTACCATTCGTCAATTGAAAACAAGCCCCCAGAAAGAAAGCAAAGGCTACTTTTAAACAGGTGTTGTAGCTTAGCTTCATTATCTTGCATGCTGCAATAAAAAAAAAGTAAGAAAGATGAAGACGATTGATGATGTTTACAACAAGTTAACCAATGAGGGGTAAGCACGTCGACACAATAGTGCCTTGTTGATCTCAAAAGGGAATTAAGATTGTATACTGATGCATCCTGTAGATGCATCACTGCAAAAAAAAGATTCTTTCGCACTTATTCTGAAATAATGCTTCTTTCACCTCGCACGTTGATTCAATGTTTTGGTGGAGAAGAGGTAGTCACCACATGGCATGTTCCAAAACTTATTACACAAGATTTGTTAGTTCGAGCACGGCGGTGATCGAAAAACAACTCAGTTGAGACGGCTGTGGTTTACGTTGAAATGAGACCTATATGGGGGGGAGGGTGGGGAATCACGTCGCACGCCTTCTACTTGTTCTTTTCATGCGCTGTGACCCATATGGAATTGGATCACTGATCCTATCTTTGTTAAATTCTGTCGCGTAACAACTGTCCACGTTTGCAACAGCAAATTATTATCAATTTTTTTTTCTCTGAAGAAACAAGCTCGCTATTCCGCTATATGCGCTGTACACGATAACTACTGACACAACTGGCCCCAGTATATATAGCCCCAGTACATATATAATGTAAGGGAAAAGTCCGTGCAGTGCTTTCTAAGATCAATTAAATTGGGCGAAACTTGCCATCTACATAGAAGTTGATGAAGTGAAGCCATATGCTTTGTGAAGAAATTTGAATAGTAAACAGGAGGTTGTTTCTTGAAAGTTCGATTAGGGATGAATGTTTAGTTATGATGCACTTTCCAAACGGGCATTGGAGTATATAGTTTACGAGTGGATCAAACTTGTCACAAGAACACTCCCACTTCCTGAAGAAATGAAACCCTCGTGTCGCACAAAAGCCTATTTGTTCGACTAAGCACCGTAACAAAGGGTGGATCACAGGAGGTGGACAGCGGGATAATTTAACAAAGAGCACACTGAGCTACACAGCGAGAAGCCGTCGTATATCAAGCTAACGCAAGCCTCTTTAATTTGAAAACTTTGTGTTTCAAATTTCAACCCGGGAGTTCCCATTAGAAGTACCTAAACCTAGGAAAAATAAACTGCATCAACTTACCTCTGAAACCAGTTCTTGTATCTGCAGCTAATTTTTGTAAGATCACTCGTGGAATACACTATTTCTTTCACATACCGGCAGAACTCGCAGCCCCGGAACGACCTGACAATTCGCTGAACAAAAGACTCTCGACTCTTCGAGAAATGTTTAGGGTTATTGTCGGAATTTTACACCAAATTTCGGGTGGAAACTCGTCTTGTTCTGCAACGTGCAGTTAGGGTACCTGTCAGGAGGGTTATTAAAAATTCATAATGTTGTGACATGTTTAGTGACCCACTCCCCACATCTGTGTTCACTTACCGATTGTGGATGTGATGTTTGATGCTCCGGCGTTAAGTTTTCCATTAAGTTTTCTTCTGTTTTAAAACACAGGTCAAATTACTTATAATCTCTTCAAGGATAAAACTTAACTTGTAGGAAAAAAATTACGTACTGACGTCTCTCTCCTTTCAAAACGAGTTGTTGGAAAAGTTAGTGTTGCCTCGCTTAATTTTCCTCTAATTCGTAAATCAATTTCACATTTCAAAAAAAAAATGAGGTGGAGTGAAATTTAGCATAAGGAATGCACTATTTTCCAGCATTTTTCACTGAGATGTTTTTCTTTTCGTAATATTCATTACCATTAGTACTTATGAGCCATCTCTCAACAACGTAGCAGAAACCTCATCAATCTCTTTTCATTTGATTTATTTACTTCTGATTAGTTATAGCTGAACGAACAGGTGCTCTTTTGTCCATAAGTGCTGTGTTTGGGTCGGTAGTGGTTATATGAAATATCGCCAACAGGAAAAGATGGGCAAAGTTGTGCGAAATGCTGGCCAAATCGTTTTTAGTTTTCTTGACTACGTGAACCTTTTAAAAATCCAAAGATAAATGAAGCTTCAGTTAATTGATATTCTTGGTAAGTAATAGCCAATTATTTTTATTGATAAATGAGAGGAAGGAACACAAAAGGTCATGATTGGATGAATTTTTCCGCCCGTCGGATTTGGCCCAAAATTATCCGTGATGTTATCAAATAGCAGACAGCCAAAAACAATTTTTAAAAAACTGGGAACAGTTTTGGGTGTCTCAATGCCTTCTGTATAAGATTGCGTCGACTTAACTCGGTCATCCTTTATACAGAGTTTTATTCAAAATTTAAATCCTCTGTCGTTGACAACCTGATGCGTGGCCAACAATTGTTCTAAGATCATACTGACGCAGTTCTTACAAATAATAGAAAACCACTGAAGGTCAGTGTAAACAGAGACATTTCAAACAAGATATACCAATAATAAGATGTAACAATGTTGAAATAGCATTAATCCCTCAGCTGACAAAAACAAACCATATTGGGTTTCATATTGGCTCACACGTTATCATCTTCCCAGATAAGTTCTACTTTATTATCCACATAATTTAGAAAGGTTTAAAACGTTCATTTAGACAAAGTTAACCTCTAGGTGTCCATTTCCCTTGGTAATTTTCCCTTGCATGCCTAGTGTAAGCTTCCGATAATTTTTTCCAAATTCAATTAAAGTACTTCTAAAAATGAACGTAATCGAGACCCATGTGTTCACCAGCGTGGACCAAGGCAATCTCTGCCTTCCGTATTATATCCTTGACATCTTTACTGGCACCTTTTCCTTTTTTTCTCATTAGTGAAACCTTATCAGCGAGTGTTACATATTGCTTGGCAATTTTCAGTTTCTTTCGTGCCTTGTTCAATTTCCACTTTATTTCTGCCACTTTTGTTTTAAATTTGGGTACTTTTTCTAATAGAACAGCGGCTGTCGAGTCTGATTCTTTCCCAGTCCCTGCACCGGAAGATTCAGCCTGTTGAAGCTCCGTTAGAAGTGAACGATTACTGTCTCGTGGTTCAGGTTTGTTTTCTGAAGAGTAAAAGGCAAATCAGATAAGCTGAGTAAACAAGTTTTCTTTATATTTTAAATACTCTATTTTCTTCAGGAACCCCATTTCCATCGATAAAACGAACTTCCTAACATCACTTCATTATCTTGTTCCCGTGAGGTTGCTCTCCTGTCTATGCAGAGTCTGGGAAGTTCAAAGGAAGTACAAAAAGTTTGTTTCGGGAAAGTCTTGGTAACTGTATGGACTTGAAGTCATATAAATAACGAGCTAACCATATAAAAAAAGTAGTGCAGGTCTCTGCTCAAAAAACAGTACAATCTGTTTCGTTTCCTAATATTTTCACTATTTGGTCTTCAAAACTGTTCATATTTTGATCCTCATTGTAAACACGGCAAACCAAAAACAGCTTTTTGGGACCAGCGCACACCGGGACTTTGAAGGAACGGCTTCCAGGTTTCACTAAGAAGAGAACACCTCAGAAAAACATAATTTCAGTCAAAAATTCTACCCCTTCCTGGTATTTAGTTTGGCATGGAAATGAGTTCTTGAAGTGGAGAATACATTATTGGACTATTTGGACACTACTTTCTGACAAACTTAATTGTCTGAATCAACAGGTGTTGTATTGAAGCGTCCTCCAAACACCAGTTCTGTCGAATCCGGTAAATCTTCTACGAGAAATCACTCGGTCGTCATAAATATTCTTCAGTTTTTTAAATAGATTTTATTTAATCACAACTCGCCTTTCAATAACACGTGTTTACCTTGCCGATAAAAATTATACGTTTTCCGATGAAAGGTTTCTCATTACACAAAGCCTATTCCTTTAGTGGCTAGAAAAGATGAATGATCGAGCATAAGTCAATCAAAGGTTCGCTGCCTTGTGAATTGTAAATTGCAAGAATTCGTTCTATCACGTACCTTTCTTCTTTGGCGCCGCTCCGACCACTGCTACGAGTAGAACTAAAAGAAGTACGCTATTTGAGGTCATCTTTCAGACGAAGAAACAGAGGCTAGAAGAACAAACCAGTAAGATTTGCCGGAGTCTGCGCAGTTCTTAAATCATTAATTACGTTCAACCGTGATTCGTACTTTCCCTGAATGACCACTTAACGTACTGTGTTCCTCATTATCTCTTTCCTCATTATCTCTTTTGAAGTTGGGAGGGGGGAGGGGGGAAACATTTTACATTTCTTAATTACTAAATATCTCGAAACTGTTAATATTTACTGCACGCAATTGATTTATTTTCGAGTATGACTGTAGAGATTAACATCTACATCTTGTGATTGCTCCATCAAATCAAGATTTTTTTTTAACCACTAAAAAGGAAAAGACTTTGACCAAGATCAGAAGCACACAGTCGAGCTTCCTCAAGGTTGATCTCATATTTTAGATAATCATCAATCATTTTAACGCCTCTTGTATCTTCTATCCCCAGTAGAGCTTTCACTAGTGAGGAATCAGAACATTGGCGCAAGTTTATTGCGAATCTTTGAGTCTAATTCCTGCCTATAAAAGAAAAATAATTTTTTGCAATACTTGAGGTGCATCTGAGTAGTATGCAAACATTCTACCCGACCGTTCTGGGAAAAATCATTGCTCCTTACACTCTGGCTACTTATCATTAAGGGAGTTTTTACTTTGTAAAAAACTGATAAAAAAAGATGCTATTTTTGTCTAAAAATGTCACTGTTGAAAGCAGTACGTAGACTCGATCTAATAAGTACGATAATTAGTCACATTACTGTCCGCAAACAACTATTATTTAGAGAAATATTGCTTTCACAATTTCGTTAAGTACCTATAATCTTCGAATAAGAAACATGTTTTCCCAACTAACCATCTTGTGATTTGCATTTAAGATAGGCACCGTCTATTAGACATAGCAAGTGTATATTAACTATGTTGTTTCAAGGTACTTAGAGGTGCTCACTGCTCACTAAAGAGTCAAAGCTGTCGAATCTATCGATCTCGCCATTTTTCATTACCAAAATCATGTCACAGTCTTTAATGGTGTTCAGTCGATGAGCAATAGTTATTACTGTAGAGTTCTTCAGTTTCTCTCGCACGACTCTCCAGATTACTTGTTCTGTTTCTGGATCCACGTGTGCAGTGGGTTCATCTAAGATGATAACCTTTTTTTGCTGCAAAAGAACACGGGCCAAACAAATTAACTGCCGTTCTCCGGCGCTAAAATTTGCACCGTGTTCTAATAACTCATGATGCAGCTGTCCTTCCAGATTTTCCACCAACCCTTTTAGTTGGACATCTTCCAAGGCTTTCCACAGCTCTAAATCTTGAAACTGATCCACCAGATCAAGATTTCTTCTCAGCGATCCACTGAAAAGAACTGGACTTTGGCCAAGTACAGATATACATCGTCGAGCTTCTTGGAGGTTGATCTCCTTTATTGGAACACCGTCAATAATGACATTCCCATCCGCGTCTGGCATGCGCAGAAAAGCTGCCACCAGGGATGATTTTCCGGCTCCCGTTCTTCCTGCAACGCCAAACTTGGACCCTCCTTTTAATTCAAGATTTATGTTTCTTAGTACTTGCGGTCCCCCTGGATAGTATGTCAAAGACACATTTTCAAATGTCACACCTCCTTCTAGGGGCCAGTTTTCTGGGGGAGGACGCAGCACTTTGTACCCAGGTTCGCAATCAAGTTTCGTATATGTCAAAACACGTTCAACTGACGTCATTGAATTCTCGACATCCGATGTTTTTCTGACAACAAACTGAGCTTGTTCCACAGTCTCGATAACGTATACAAGAGCAAGTCCAGCGAAAGCTGCGGCGGAAAAAAAAGCTGCATCAAAAGCTGGTACTTCATTTCTTAACCCTCAACAGTTTGTAAATATAACCCGATGTAAGTGCCCTAGAACATGGAATGCTGAAGTTAGAAAAAGGAGATCAAAATCAGACATCCTTTAAAAAGTCTATGTGTCTTCTTGGCGCATACATTTCTAACAGTTTTGAAGAAGAGCATATCAAAATATCTGACATAAACGACTCAACAAATAAAAAATCAACTCTAAAATCAAAGATCAGGTGAATTAATCAAGTTTATCCTTGAAATCGAAACTTCCCTCAGAACATCATCTGTTGAACGAAAGTTCGTGGTGATAATTCTTCGATTAAAAGCTTAACTGTGTTTAGCTCAATCGGGGTTTTGTATAAGTTGATGGTTTTACAATGATCCATCATTTAGTGATATGACCACACCTACCTGCATCTTGGGAAACTAAAATAGCTGCTAAAGCCACAACACCAGTCAATAAGGAAGAAAGAAGTTCAATGCGCACAGAAAGCCATCTCCCACTGGCCAACACCATGATATACGACTGAGTATGGACATCTTGAAATCTATGAAAGAAATGTTCAGTTAACTGTGATTTTTTTTTTTTTTTTTTTTTATAAAGAAAAAAAAACTCGGTTCTGTTAGTATCTACTGTAGTTTTCTCGTAATCCAACAATCTACTATGTTCAGGTTGCACAGCAGGTTATGGTGTGTTTCTATGTCTAACCATTACCGTGACATAAGAGGTCCTAGATATATTTATTCTAGAAACTGCAAGGCAGACTATATCCAAACGCTTAAAAAACTTATCTCTCATTCTCTAAGTGCACGGCTCTACCTCTTCTGCATGCTACTCTCTTTTATAGTTGACAGAAAAAGTATAACACACCTGTAAAACTGTTCTTGAAAATCTTTTTGTCGTCTTCCCGTTCGAATTGTCTCAAGTCCATCCAAGGTCTCCGAAATGTGTGAATACACAGGACTTCGGCATATTGACTCTAACCTTTTGAGCTGTCGTGATGTCTTCAGGTAATAACTAGAGATGTAAAAACCACTACAGCCAGTGGACAAACGACAAATAGAACCCAAGGGTTTGTGACAATTGGTACCAAAACGGATGAAAGTAGCAGCAGGAAAACTTGGACTGAGAGAAGAAACGTGTCGGGTAACAACTCGTCCAGGCAACCAACATCCTTGGAAAATCGATTGAGAATTCTTCCAACTGGATTTGAATCGAAGAACAAAACTGGTGCCTTTAATACCGCTGCGACCATTTCATCATGAAGCCGCTCCGAACATCTTAAAGACGCCAAGAGAAATCCATATGCTCTGATAAAGGCAAATATGAAGGATCCAATCACTAGACTGCTATACGATATTAAGCTTATACTCTTCCTCTGATTTTCGAGACGTTTCTTTGAAAAGAATGAAAGCCATACGTCAGGAGCAACGATCATTCCTATGATTAAAGAAAAAGTAAGAATTAACATTTGGTCAACCGGTAGATGAAAGGAGGTTTAAAACATTGAGATCAAAGCAAGAAAATTGAATACGACAACTTTCTTATATCACTTTGTATATAGTATGAATCTTACCTTGAGTAACCACACATAAAATAAATAAAGAAAATATTGCTAACGAGTGCAATCCGCTTCTGAAATATTCCCAGTAAGTCTTTAAAGTCACTTCTCCGATTGTGCGATCTTCCTCCGAAATAACGAGGTCCTTGATATGTTTTCCTTTTGTCGCACTTTTGTCCATGACATCTGGTTTCTCTTTGTCCTTCGAAACTGAGCTCAAATCCGACTCGCTGTCTCTGTTGGACTTTATGTGTAGCGGATCGAGAACTGTGGCAAGACTGCCCTTTTTCTGGAGCTCAATGTAACTTCCCTTTTCCAACACCCGACCTTTTTGTAATATAATTACTTCATCAGCAACTTTCATATGTTCCTCTTGATGAGTTGACAATACTCGTGTTTTGTTACCCAAGACTAGTGGGTCTAGAAAGCAGCTTTCAAAAATGTGTTGTCCAACTTTTATGTCCACGGCACTGAGAGGGTCATCCAACAAGTACAGGTCTGCATCCACGTATACTGCTCTTGCCAAGCTCACTCTTGCACGTTGACCTCCACTCAAAACGGCGCCCCGCTCACCTACGACTGTGTGGTCACCGTTTGGAAACATCTGGAAATCTTCTGTAAGAGAACATGCCTCAATAATTTTGGAGTATTTGGTTTCGTCGTAAGGTAGACCGAATAAAATGTTTTGTCTAATGGTTCCAGAGAAGACCCATGGTGTTTGGGAAATATATGCAAGTGAACCTTGAAAAGTTATATCACCGCTGATATCTGAAATTTCGCCAGCCATAGCTAACAGAAGAGTAGATTTTCCACTTCCCACGGGTCCTGTGATGATTGTTAAACTTTTTGGCGCTGCAGTGAATTCTACATCCTGCAGAGAAAAGTCTTCCCCCTGATCACTTTGGGAACACGAAAGACCTGACACAAGAAGAGACTCCTTCCCAGGTTCTCTCTCGTCCGCGGTGGAGGCTTTGTCCGATTTTCTCTGTTTATCTGAGAGTCCGTTCGATTTAGATGTTTCCTTTATCAAGTTACCATCAGAGATCCCGTGCAACTCATCTAAAAGCAGAAACTCTTCGATTCTTTGAAGTGACGCATAAGCTTCGTATGTTTCCAGGGATCCATAGGCTTGGTAATAGCAAATACTTGTTATTAGTGTATTGATATAAGGAAGAAGCATGAAGAGATTAACAGGTGTGATTGGTCGACCAGTTAGCACCATTGTAATGACTACCACCAGAACTGCCAATGGCACTGAAGTGTACTGTAAGGCAGCAACCCCTGCTAGAACAGCACTCTTCTTTCGAATGATACTCATTTCCTCGCTAAAAAATTGAAACAGATTATACAAACTAATTTCTCTGCAAATGAAATGTCGATAGTTTGATGAACCACTTCACACATTTTGACAAGAAAGAAAGGTACGTTCGATTAATCAGACTCACGTTGTTGAACGAGAACAGGAAAATAGTAACCTCGATGTCTAAGTACTCTGACAAGTCCACACATGTCCGAGAGAATAAAGTAAGGACGCGTGAAAAACCTTTTTATGCATAATCTTTCTTTCAGGCACTTGTGTACGATTAACCAAAACTTATTTCTTATTTACCTTCGAAGGTGCTTTATCATGTCCTGGTACTCATCCTCCCATGCGCGCGTTTTTATGGCGCGAATCCCAGAAACCACCTGGTTCATCAAGGAAATACGCTGATCAGAAACAGCTGCTGTACGCAGGCGCAGCGCAGCACTAACATAGGACAGCATCCCAAAATATGGTACGAGCAAACACAGGACAACAATACCAAGAAGAGTCTGCCAACCAATGAAATACACAAGTAATACTGTTGCACCTCCGACTAGAAAGAAATCTAATACCATAAAGTACAAGAATTTGACAGTTTCTCCTTCCAGTCGCTGAACATCGTTAGATACCAGGTCAATCACACGGCCTGTTGAAAATCTCAGTAATTCCTGTTTGCCGAGTAGTAGTGTCTGCAAAGGAGGAAAATTCATGCTTGAGTAGATTATTAATTATGTTCGTGATGTTTTCCTCTAATTGCTTGTAATTAACTGATATAATCGTGACAACTTGCATTTACATTTGAGATGTTAGGTTCGTTTGTGTATATTACCACTGCCACGACTCTTTTGGAAATTCTTGAAAATTAAAAAAAATTCATTAAGAAAAAGGTTTACCTTTCGGTATATGAGACCTTTCAGAGCGCTGCTCATTCCAATACCAAGAGTATCACATTTGTAGGAAGAGTAATGAACACTGAGTCCCCCAATCGTCGCACAGATGCACATAGCCAACACACAACCGTACAGAGACAGATTTTTCTGTGGTTCAGCTGACATCAATGAGAAAATAAGATAACCGAGAAACAAAGGCTTAATAAGGCGCCAGACTGTGTACATTGAATGATCAATTACTATGATGAATGTATCTTTGAAAGACACCATCTTCAAGATGCTTCTCCAAAGTTTTGGCCTTTTCCCATTCTCTTTGCAATTGGCTTTCTCTTCATTCCATTTTGATTCCAGAAGATCTGTCAAAGAGCCTGTTGTGTTTTCTCTTGAGAGGGGAACAAAGTCGGTTTCTTCTAAAGTTCCATGAGAACCTGATTGGAAGACACCGTTCATCCAACGAAAAAACAGGAGAGACACTAAGCTGATATTTTCCTTTTGTTCACTGGTGAACACTGGCTTGTATTCCCCTTTAGCCATTTCTACATCTGCAAATTACAAGCGCCTACACGCAAAAGAAAAAAATGATCAATTTCAACAACAGAATGGTATCTACTAAAACAGCGATCAAACGTCTGCGCATATGCAAACGATGTAATGATTAGAGGACGCTCTTCCAAGCTGTCAGAACCAAGTTGTCGCTCAGAAGGTACCAACAACCTCAAAAGCCGGTTAGTCACGCTACTCAAGAATCTTATAACTTTTTTGATAAAGCTCAATACAAAATGATAAATCAGCAGGATACTTGTTCTAAAATCGGCAGTGTCTACAAGAAATCTCGAGGTTTCCCTTTTTGTAACTTTTAAAGATCTCCACAAACATTTAATTTCTTTTGGCATTCCTGACGGCTGATCGCTGTGTTCTGCTATATCTCTTTGTTTTAATGGCGACATCGAATGTTTATTTGCGTCGTGAGATCTTATTTTTAACCGAATTCTGACAAAAGCTTTCAATTTTCCTTTGCCCTCTTTAAAGGTCACTTCTTCAAATAACCCTCCGGCAAAGACACACGACTATAACAAGCGTTTCATAATAGGCCGCAGAATTTTTTCCTCTTCCTAGACTGTGTAAGACGTTCTCTAACTAATTCATTTTTGGAACTGATCACTTAACTATCATAACCACCAAAAAGAAAGGATTAATAAGAACTGATTTACGTATGTCGGTGCACGGGTTTCTATATTTACATGCCCCACAGATTTACCAAAGAAATAGTTCGTTTCGTTGTCTTATAGAAATAACTGGATTGGCTCGACGAATCAGTGATAAGTCAAAAGCAGCTTTTAAATTTTAAATCACGAAATAAACCTTTCTGTGATTGTGCATTCACAGAAAAAAAGGGAACGACGTCATGTGCGTTGATTTCAAAGCATTTATTATAAGCAGCGCGAAATGCTCTTATTCAAACTGGCCCCATTAAACAAATTTCTCTCGAAGAGTCACGCATTTTAAACAAGGTTAAGTGTTGACTTTACGAGAACATTTAACATCTAAAAAGGAGTGCACGTGACTAACGCCACCACTGCTTCTTCTTGCTTACCTAAGTCCGGAAAGCGGCGGCTACTTGACAAAAGTTACTCGTTTGGAACCCCTCTAATTGAAGTACTCCAGTCACGTCATCAGCTAAGTGCACCGCCACTACACACAGCGATCAGGTAAATGTTGAAGAAAAAAAAATTCCGTAATCAAGTAAGTAACCATGCCCTCAAAGCACATCGTTAGAATTTACGACACTCTTGGACCGGAATAGGCGCAAGATCTGTGGTTTTACGGGACCTCACAGTGAACCCGGAAAAAAAAAGCCTATGTGTTGAGATAGTTCGCATCTCAGACCTTTGTGCTGAGATAAAGATAGAGCACTTGAGTAAATACATCCACCACAAGATGACCTCAGGTCACTTCAACTTTTGAAAATTTGAATTAAGGATAACGGTTCAAAACCGATTTCACAACAAAATTTTCTTTTCAAGGTGTTAAAAAAATGTGCTGCATAATAAAGCCGATAAACATTGATGAGGTCATATTCTGAGAGATTAAGATAGTAAGATCTACAAATATCGCGCCGGTTAAACAGTCTTAAAAGATGGAATATTCAATCAATTCATAACGACAAACATTTTACGGTCAATTGCCAAGGAGCGTAAACAGCTTTCGATTACAGATCACCAAAAGACCGAGTAACTTTTTTTTGTCGACATCTAGCTTTGTAAAGAATTAAGAGATACGTTAAAAAATTCATAGTGGTTTCCGGTCAAGGACATAATCATAAATGACTAAAAATATCTAAAGCATCTCAATGTTTGTATCTCACCGAAGTAAAGGAAATATCAGAGCGTCCTTACAATGAAATACTTTTATCCGCTAGGGTCTTGTGTAAGCGGAAGAATGAATGTTTGCCATCAGTTGGTGGCCGAAAAAATTAAACTCCTTAACTTCATATTTACGTTTAAAAAAAATTCCTAACAATTGTAAATCTCAGACCATAATTACTGCTTTCTGATGATCTCAGATCGTGAGGATGTTGCCTGAATTTTGGTGTCATCCCTCAGATATTTCCTCCACAGAAATGCGGTTGAAATCAACTTCATAATGGTGCCAAAAAAAATTGGTCAGAAGATTTTTACTTTGAGAATAACAGATCTGTCGAATATGCAACCAAAGCAATTGTGTCAATTCCTTAATTAAAAATAGCTGCTGCTGTTGTTACTGACGAGAAAAGCTGGATAAGGAATCGAATGGTTCGCTTCACAGTGCGTACTTCTACAAGTGTTAACGACGAACAGGTAGAGCGTCCGCCTGTTTACGGAGCAATATGTATTAAGCTCACCTTAGCTGGTAACTATCTCCTCTACAGACACTTGGACATGATGGTATAAACCAAACGAAGAAAGAGAGATCCGCAAAACGGCAAAGACAATTATTTACGTCTCATTTGCAAAAGACAGGCCGACACTTTAACGCACAATTAATTTTTCCATAAATGTAACGGTTGGAGACCCTTAAGTTTGAATCTTTTTTAATAGTTTTAACATCTGCCAGTGTTAATTATGATTGGTGGACTTCGTTTTGGGGGTACTTGTGTCACGCAATTTCTGAAGTCCGACTATCATCCGGGGAAAGAAATACTCAATCTATGGACCCCACACACATCACCGACTTGTAAATGTACCGTCTGAAAAATGTCACACATTTGTAACACCTTTGTCTCGCCTTGTGGATATTTTCAACTTGATTCAAACTAAGCGGAAAGGTCTCAAATAGACATCGTATTTTACTATGTGTATTTAAGAAGGATTATTTACCTTACCTAAGGAAATATGATATTTCCCACCTATTTGCGATGATGTAAATCGTTGAAATTCCGATAGCATAAGTCCATACTAGGCAATCTGCTCACCCAGATTAAGAACGAATTCTCAGAAAGGTTATGTTATTTATGAATAATCAATCATTGACCCAAGAATTTCCATTAGATAAGTTGAATTTTATAGACTCAAATATTAGATGGAAGAGTCCCTTTAACTAGATGGCCTATCAAAAGAGGTATTGACATTCTCTTTAAGCTTCGCTTATATTTCCTCAACACAAAAACTTTATTGAGCCTGTATTATTCTATATTATAATAAAGCTCGGATATAACATGTACTGTCATTGGTTGAAAGAGCGTGCTCTATGAGAGTATAGAGCATAGAACTGAGCTAAAGCTTTCACGCCATCTGCCAAATCGTACTATGTCCGACCTTTTCCGGGACTTCTTTCTAGCTTTTCTTTCGTTAATTGAAAGTGAAATTTCGGAACAAGCAAGCAAAGGTTTGCAAAAATGCCAGGCGCAGTAATTTACGTTACTGTAACGTGAGCAGAGACAAAAATCCTCAAAGATAAAACAAGATAGACAGTCCGAGTTTTTTTAACGGTTTTCACGCTCAGTTAGATTGCGAGTTTACGTACGGTAATAAAAATCAAACACAGCTAACACTTGTATAGTATATAAAGTTTCGATTTCAAATAGAAAAAAACAGGAATTATGAAAAATATAACCTGGCATAACTGTTAAAATTCATACTAGTCATGACGGTGTCAGAGCGACTTAAGGTCTATCGCGGCTAGCTAATCATGGCGATCTTCGGTCATCGCAGTGGAGCAAGCCACAGGAACTAAATCGACTACCCTTCGAGTGAAAAAATAAGAGCTTGTCCTGATTAACTTTCCGATGCGTTGAGTGGAAGGCCAGATCAGTCACTGCAACCGAGTTTTACGGCGCTGTCATTCCGAGCGATCTTTTTGTCTCAGTGAATTCGGCTGTTGTTCATTCATAATACACTCGCCTTGAACAGTTTGTTTTCTACTTGTAATGTGAAATAACTTGCGTATTTTTGTGAGCCACGATTGGGCCGAATTTCACTGAACATTTCACTTTCAGATCCTGTATTAAAAACTAAAAAACTTCAGGCAAAAGTGTTAAATTCCGAATTTAACACGTTTGGAGGTCAAGAAGTAGGGAGAAACACTCGACCCCTACACTTCTTTCGTGCTCTAGCCGCTTCCTGCGTGCTTTACAACAGAACAGAGCACAGTCAAGGCTTCTCTATTTGTTAAGTAGAGCCCGATACTTAAATTATTGTGCAATTGCTTGGGGTAACGCATATCAATCAACTTTGCAACCTTTACTTAATTTACAGACGAAAGTTATAAGGCTAATTACCTTCTCCAGCTTTACTGAACTGTCAAGTCCTTTATCTAAAGACTTGAATGTTGAGAAGCTGTCCGATGTAATAACCCTTCAACTTGCAGTGTTTATGTGTAATTTTCACAACCAACTTTTATCCTTGGTTTTTTATCCCTTTTTTGATCCTGTTAGAAACACAGATAGTTCTAACACTATGTTCCCCTGTAAAATGACTTATGCTATCCCAAAAGCCACAACAAATTATGGAATATCCAAAGGAAGGTTCCAGCGAACTACAGTTAAGAATAACATAAGTGATGAGATCAACTCTATATTTTTTCTGGCTTTCCGTTGTATATTACAAGCATCCTCAGTTGTCTCGTTGGTGTTGTTTCTCTTTCTTTTTTATTTTTTGTTGTTGTTTTTTTTCTGATTTTTGTGTTTTGTGGAGGTGTGTGTATAAGTTGAACCTGACCCTAATATCTATGAATTAATCACCTAAGTGTGGCTGCCTTATTTTCTTAGCCCGTTATGGTTATTAAGGGCAGCCTGTACTCTCTGTAAAATTGCTGTAATTTTACTTGTAACTGTTGTGTACAAATAAAGTTGTTGTTTCACCATCCCGACTGTGCTTATTCAATGTATTAGGTTCGCCTCATGAAAACTAAGGCGTCTGGATCGGGCCCAAGAATTATATGTAGGGCAAATTATTAGCTCGGTTAAAGAGTAAAGAAAAGTGTTTTGCATTTTGTCAAGCACCCAGGTCAGAGGATAATTAATCTAAGTCCTCAAGGATTATATTAACGTTGAAATT